ATATCATGAAAGTATAATACTGAGAAGTAAAATTGTGGTGATCGAAGACCTTCAATCTCTAAACTTCAACTTGTTTTTATATTGCATTAGCATGTACTTAAACAGGAAACTGCACAGCTAAATGTGCAATATAGTGATCACACTTTGAAACTGTGTCAGGTTACTACTATATAATAGAACAAATCAAAATTTTCCTTTCCTATCAAGGCAGGAAAGCATAAAATTCTAAATCTTTTCTTGAAAATGAGGATCACTGACTCCCTCAAATCTGTCATACCTCAGGTATGATTGATACAGCAGGAACAGTTTACTAAGACCTCTAGAGTTTTTTCACAAGGCAAATAATCCTCCTTAGATTGTTCTGTACCTGCTTTCTATTTAACTTCACTCTATTTCCATCTTTTACAAGTTATATGGTATTTTAGTCCAAATCAAGGTGACACTCAGTGAATTAAATAGAATTGAATCCTGCAACGCACAAGCTCTAGGAAACTATTCTGAAATTCACCTATTCAGGATAGAGAATAGAAATAAAGATAAAGAATGATACAGAGGGTGGCAGTGACATACTGATTCATTCAATTTCATTCATTCATCCATCCATCCATCTATCCATCTTTCAAATAAATATTTATTGTGTATCCACTAGAAGACAGGCACTGTGTTAGCAGCAGGAAATAAAGTAGAGAACAAGACAGAAAAGTTCTCTGCTCTCCAGGAATTTACTATTGAATTAGGGAGGCAAACATTAAACACATGACTATACATGTGACAAGAGCTGTGATGGAAGACAAAGGGTACCATGAAAGTGAAAAATTAAGAAGCAGAAAAGACTTGTCTGAAGAAATGATACTTAAGCCAAGAACTAAGGTTTAGGTAGGCAGGTGTTAACTGGACAAAGAGTGAAGCAGAAACGCTGTTCAAAATACAAGGAGTTTTGACAAAGGAGCCAAGAACATACAATGGGGAAAAGAAAGTCTCTTCAACAAATGGTGTTGGGAAAACTGGATAGCCATATGCAAAAAAATGA